CCCTCATTGTCGCTCACTAATTTGAGGAACTCGATAGTGTCTTCAAATTCAGATGAGTGTTGACGCCTTTTTTGAAGGTGGAAGTCGGAACCTATGGCGGATATTCGGCGATGATCCTTATGTCGAAGATGATGGAGATCATTGAGATGACAAGAAGACTCCTCAAAAAGTTTTAGTTTTGATGATATTGTATAAATGATGTTTGAGCCTATGCAAAAGGATATTGTATTGATTGTAATGGATATAGGCTTGTGTGTGTGTTTGTTTATGTTTGATGATGATAATGAATGCTTAATTCAAGAACCTGTCAAGCTTTTAAAGAATCCTAGAATTTGTTTTTTAAGTATTTCCATGAGTAAACATGAAGTAATAGATTATCTTGAAAAGGGTAATTTACTACCAAGTGTTTAAACATATAAATAGAACTTGATTTAAACAAGAGTTTTCAAGGTAACTTTGTTAATCAAATTACCATTCAGGGTAATAGATTACCAAACCTGTTACTAGAAAAGGATATTCAAATGTCCTCTGTGTTAATAGATTACCAAGTCTATTACTAAACATGTTTTTAAAGAACTCTCTGAGGTAACAGATTACCATAGTTGGTAATAGATTAAAACAGAGTCTCTTGCTTGGAATTAGGTTGAAAAAATGAAGTTTTCATCGTGTTAATCGGTTACCAATATAAATAATCGATTACCACACAATGAAATGCAATGCTGGGACTTTTCAAGCTCGGGTTAATCGATTACCACTTGAGATAATCGATTACCTTGGACAGTTTTATGTTCTGATTCAATTTTAAAGAGCAAGTAACAAATTACCATCACAGGTAATAGATTACTTCTGTTATTACTCTTTATAACTGAATCATGTCTTGCACTCTATAAAATCAATATTTTTGAAATTTAAAAAGAAGAATCAAGAGAAATTTTAGAAACCTTTTAGAAAAGAAATAATTTCATAAGCAAGATTCAAGTGTTACCTAAGAAATTTTCTGAAATTTCAAGAAGTGCAAAGATAGAACATGAATTCTTGAAGGAAGAAATTCAAGAACTGTATTCAAGAGTGAAAGATCAACATATTCACAAAATTAAGTGATATTACTCTGATCTTTAAACTTGTATTTTCATTTTGACTGATGTATCTCTTGAGATAGGGTGTCTCAACAAGAGATGGTGAAATCTTGAGTAGGGTTTCTCAAGTAATTTCTGTGGGGTACAAATTTTTTGAATGTTTTCAATCTTGTGGTGTCAAGATTGATGTGTGTTTGAATTCTTGTAACATTGTGTGTGCAAGGTGTTTGTAAACAATATTATAGTTAATGATCTTTGATTTGGTGGGGTGTTAAATCAAGGAAAACTAGATGTAGGCCAAGTGGATGGTTGAACTAGTATACTTGTAAGGTGTTAAATCAAGGAAAACTAGATGTAGGCTAAGAAAAGAATATTTGTAAAGCCCGAAGGGGCTTGTCAAAGAATACTCACTACTAGCCAGAAGTGGCTGATAAAAGAATACTAGCATTGGTGAGTGAAGCCGATCGATGAGCCAGGAGTGGTCGAGAATACATGGAGAACCAAAAGTGATTAAAGAATACTAGCACTGGTGAGTGAAGCTAGCGGGTCAGAAGTGGTCGAGAATACTTGAACCAGAAATAGTTTAAGAATACTAGCGTTGGTGAGTGAAGTCGACGGGCCAGGAGTGGTCGAGAATACTCAGGTCCAGGAGTGGACGATAATCTCAATGCTAGCCTGAAGAGGTTGATAAGAAGATACTAGCGTTGATGAGTGAAGTCAACGGGCCAAAAGTGGTCGATAATACTTTTTGTATTGAATTGCATATCTAGTGGAACCCCTCAGTTGAAGGAGACTGGACATAGCTTAGTTGATCGAACCAATATAAAAATGATTGCACTACTTTATGTATTCCTCAGACGCGAACACTTCCTAATTGACAAATCTTGTTGAAAACTTTGTCTACTGTATAATTCTCATTAAAACCATTTTTCAGACGAAGACACAAATTTTGTTTAACAAACATATTATACTAGAAGTTTCATCTGTTGATTATTCTTAACCAAAACTATCTTGAAAAGGAAAATAGAAAAACCTTAATCATTTTTGTTATATGAAATATTTTCCTACAGCAGACGATAGATCTTTCAGACGTAGTAATCTTGGTTAAGCAAAATATGCATAAGCGTCTGATGTTCAAAAGTGCACTGGATGAAGAACATCACTCTTGCAAAAATGCTTTAAAATTCCTTGTTCACACAAACACACATATTCAACCCCCCCATTCTATGTGTAATTTCGCTAACTTCAGTTGAACTTTGCTAGGGTGATGGTGTGAAGAACTCCGCCCATCCAGAATATAACCATGGCTCCTCCTCCTGATATACTCGACCTAGCAGCTCGAGTAAGAACTCCTATCTGATGGTCGCGAGTATATCCTAGACTCTCCCTAAAGGTTTACCCGCTCCAAGATAGGGAAGCCTAACTGTTGTCCAAACTCAAAATCAAAGTTACGCAGGTGCTGTCTCCTTCTGCACACCTCGTCGGTCATCCCTAAGGCTAGACATTGCTTCTGTAGTGATGGGGCTATCTGTATTGGTGATACTGGTGGGAAAGACTTCGAAGCCTTTTTCCTCGGCCATGAGATGAACCACCCCCTCTATGCATGATGGGAGATGAAATATGCCTAAAAATGCTCTAGAATGAATATGGGGGTTTTGGGAAATGGATAAGTATTATGAGGGGAGCAACCTATTTTATAGCCAAAATACTCGCGGAATGACCCGTTCTACAAGTGGAACGCCCTATTCTACGAGTGGAATGGGGAATTTTGACAAACGTTGAACTAGAATGGCCTGTTCTGCTTTTGGAATGGGGCGTTCCATTTTAATGCAACCTGAACGAGGCATTTTCAATTTGGAATGACCTGTTCTGGCAAACGCACTTTGGAACGGCCCGTTCCACCTCGAAAACGACAAGTTCTGCTCCTTTTTTAATGCCCTATTGATGCATGTCATGCAACTTGAGTTTTATCCTAGAATGCAAATTCATTTTTCACTTTCAGGTAATTAATCTATGCATGTTTATCTGTCGGCATGGACGACTTGTTCTTTTATTTGTGCCTGTCGCAACCCAAAAAATTCTGATCTTGCGACCTATGGTTTAGACATCCTTTTGAAAATCTCATCAATTAAGGAATGCCCGGACACCAGACTAATCCTTAATTAATGGTTTTGAAAATAGGTTCATGGAGTCGCCACCAATGTTTTATTCAAAACATTGGAAAAAGAAAGGTTTTTAAAAGTCCAATAATGGCCTTGATAACCAGAATTGGGTTCAGGAGTCGATTACGGTTAGGGAAGGTATTAAGCACCCTTACAACGCCCTTAATCGGTACCCTATAATGAAGTTAGCATTATAAATGATAATATTAGAAATATTAAATCCCTTTTTATTAATAACTATTTACATGCTTGAAATTTAAATTATACAATTAACCCTCAAATGTCTACATGATTATTTTTATTATAACAATATTTATTATAGATAAGAAATAAAAAAAGAGAAAGAGATTAACTGAAATACCTCTTGAATGAGCTCTATTGAATCTTCAAAATAGAAAGATTTTAGGTGCTTTGTGGCAATCTTTCACACTACAATGTGCCTCACAAAATCTCAAGAAATACAAAAGAGAGAGAGAAAAAGAGAAATTTCGAACTCTAAGGAGTCTGGAAAAAATTTGGAGCCTTGAGAATTGTGCCCAAGATGTCTATTTATAGGCATCAGAAAGGTTTCCAGAACGGCCCGTTCCAAAACTGGAATGACCTGTTCTGGATCCGAACATTGTGTGTTAATTTTAATGACCCGTTCTGAAATTAGAACGGCTCGTTCCAGATATAATATTAACACATAATTGGCTAGGCTGGAACGGCAGTTCCAAACCATAATTTTTAGGCCTTTTTAATAAGTTGGAACGGCTCGTTCCAGTTTGGGAACAGCTCGTTCCAGTGTAGGTTTTGACCCTTTTTTAGGAGTTTGGAACATCCCGTTCCAATCTTGGAACGACCCATTTCGATCTTGGAACGGCCCGTTCCAAACTAGGGTTTTAGGCCCTTTTAGGAACTTGGAACGGCCCGTTCCGGTTTTGCAACAAGCCATTCTAGGCTTCTAGAACCATCTTGTTTGGGCTTTTGGACCTTCTAATGTCCTGTCCTGTTGTTTGCATGCTTCGGGAGTTCCTTTCCTTCATAACAGCGGTCCATCTCCTTGTTTGTATGCCCCCGGATGAAATTGGGTGTCTGCAGCTGTCCCTCTTTACTTGTCCTTTGGAATAGTAATGTGTTTTTTTTCTAAAGGCAAGTAAAGACATAAACATTTCGTCCGGATCTTCTCTTTATCTCTTTAGTGTTGGCGCGTCTGCGTTGTTTCTCTTGGATAGGTGTATTTGCTCGTATCCTCGCCCTTTAGAGCAGTTGCGTACTCTATTGGGTAACAAGACTGACAAACTATACACCTGATCTTCAGTCTTCGAGTAGAAGCTCCATTGTCTCTCTTGTCATAATGTGTTCCTTTATTTGTAGCTTGTTCAAGAGGGAGTCTTTTCGTAGCTTAGCCTCTCCAGGGTGGACTGATATTTAGGGCTTCAGCTGACCCACTCTAAGGTCAGATAACCCTCTTTATTGTTGAAGTAGTTTCGTAGCTCAGCCTCTCCAAGCTGGACTGATATTTTAAGGCTTCAACCGGCCCACTCTAAGGTCAAGTGCTTAGCTCACTCCTCTTGGTTCTTTTTGGACTTGATCCTTAGTCATGATTGCATCACTATCTCTCTAACAAATCTGCCTTGCTTTCTTGGACCATCCTTCCCTGTATCTCTTGAAAATCTCTTTAGCTGTCTTGCTTATTCCCTGCATATCTTTGCGCATCTTCCCCATCTTTGGTGCTACTTTAGTGTTTTGATTTACTTTGTAATCAGTAATCACTGAAAAAATGGCTTCTGCTGCACAAGGTGATAATGGGCAGGGGCTTGTGGTTGTAGTGCAGTGGCTGGTGGTTATTTATCTGACTAATTATGAGTTGTTTTTTATGTTATGTTCATGTTATTTCAGTTTTAAGATTGCGCTAATGCTGTTATTTGTAGGAATTTTCCCCTATTTTCTTTCTGTGTGTATATTAGTATAATTTTATATTTTGGTAAGATTTTACGATCCTTGTTACAATCTTACATTTTACAATTTTGCAATCCCTTCCCAATCCTAAGAAGAACGTCAACCTTAACATTTTTGCTGACCACAAAGACATCAAACTCAAGTTTTGCTAGATTGTTAGTATATATAACTGCATCAATACAAAACACGTTCTTTTGACTAACATGCTTGTTCAGTTCTCCATACAAGTGTGATTATGTAGCTTACCTTACCATCATATTTCAAAATTCCTTTTTGTTTTATAACTTATTTTCCTGTTCTGTTCATTTTGCAGGACAATCCCATTTGCCTGGAATCTCATTACAGCTGGTTATGTTGAACAATCTGTATATGGGGTATGCACATGCTGTTTTTTCGAACTCACTATTTATTGTATTACCTGAGTAGTAAATCTTTCTTTTAAGAAAAAACTTCACAATTAACATGGTTTGTACAATTTTATAGGTAGTGGTCAACACACTCGGTCTCCTGTTTATTGGGAAGCTGCTTGAGCCAATATGGGGTTCCAGGGAGTTCTTTAAATTCATCTTTGTGGTTAATCTTCTAACTTCAGTATGTGTATTCATCACTGCTATTGCCTTGTACTACATTACGAGGCTGGAGACTTACCTGTATGTATATCAAATCCATCAAAATTGAAGATGATATTTTCTCTCTACTGCTCATGATGATTTTGTCTTTTTTATCTTTCACTGTATTTGAGTTCTCCCTTTCCCACACCTTGTGCTGCACTTTAACTCTCCAATTTTATTTTATTTATTTATTTATTTATTTTTAAATTAAAAGCTAAATGAAGGTCCATTTTAAGTTTGATTACTTGTGCTCTGTTGGATTTGACTCAAAGAAAACATTGTGGTTCTGGATATCAGCTAAAACCTATAGTAATAATTGAAACAGAAGTTTCGTTTTGGTGGTCCCCAAGATTTGCAAGTTACTTGTTTTCTAGGCTTATTCGTTGAATCTTAAGAGGCATTCAATTTTCTATTTCTACCTTGAACAAATTCTTTTGATTTTAATACTCTCTTTCAATGTTTTAGTTACTTTCCAATTTCCGGATTTCATGGAGTTATATCTGGTTTCTTGGTTGGCATCAAGCAAATTATACCAGATCAAGAGCTCCCTTTTATCAAGATAAAAACAAAGGTTTGATACTCTTATATTCTTTCTTTTAATTTATTACTTATCAGTGACAATAATTTTTTGCAAAATGCCCTAAATTTGTTGCTACTTACGTCTTCAGTGGTTGCCATCTATCACTTTATTGCTTTCCATTGCTATTAGCTTCTGGACACTAGAGGCTACGGCATATCTTCCAACCATTATATCTGGCACATATATAAGCTGGATTTACCTTAGATACTGGCAGAGGAAACCAGAAACAAAACATAGGGGTGACCCAAGTGAGGATTTTGCATTCTCCACATTTTTCCCAGAATTTTTAAGGTAATTTCAGCTTTTAGTTTGCAGTAAAAGTGATTAGTTATAGTATTATGTAACTGTTAATTTTTGTTTTTGCTTCCTTGTAGACCGGTCATAGACCCTATTGCATCAATATTTCACAGAATGCTGTGTGGAAGATCTGATACTTCTAATGACGGTCAAGGCTACACTGTGGAAAGTGAGCCTTTGCCAGGTTCAGACTCAATTGAGGCATCTAGGAGACGGTAATTCTACTTAGCAGTTGTTAGTTTTAATTGCAGTCAGTTATATATGTAGACACGTAGAAATTGCCTTCTATGAAGCATGTCATGGGGGAAAAATCAAATAAATCAACAACGACAATAGAGAGGTGCAAGTGACCAATAATTATTATTTTTCTTTTGTCATGTTTGGTTGCTTTATTGGCTTTCTTTTATAAAAATTGATAAGCTCAAAGAAAGAACAGATAAGTTGTTTGCAAATGTTCTGAGTGCATACTATTTGCTTTTTATTCTTAATTTTCTAGTTGCCATGTTATCTTACTGCTCTCCACAGAAAGCAAATAATCTTATATAGAAGGAAAGGAAAGGAATTGGAAACAAAAGCCTGGCTTCTGGTCTATTAATACTTCAACTCTTAATCATGGTGGCTAAATACAACCTTTTCTTTTGGTTTGAAAACCTAGGGAGATCAAAGTTGTACCAGAATCTGGATGTGTAATTGATTTTATTAGTTGTACATCAACTCGAGAAGCATATTATGAGCTTTTCCATGTGCTATTGCAATACTAACTAACTAAATCAATCTTATCTTATCTAACTAATAGTGGAGCATTATTTCAGATCATTAGTGGAGCATTATTTGACCGAGATTTTCTTTTTCTTTAATATTTTGATAAAATATCACAATACTATTCCAAATGGCAGTTTTTTTGTTCTTTTTTTTTTTGTGTGGGGTGATTATTTTAAAATTCCTTTTCTTCATTTTTTATAGATAAAGATTGACTCATGCACAAAGCACACACATGCAAATAAGCTAAACAAAACAATACAACTTATGAGTTATCCTTATTATACATCATAGTAGCCATATTTTCCTCTTGACTTTGTTTTTGACTTGCTGATGTCCTTGGTCAGCTTTGATTCTCATAAACCACATTTTGTTATCATCAAAACCTTCATTCTCCAAGTTTGAGTTGATTCACCACTCCATGAATCTCAACAATGTCATCACTAGTGGAAAAAAGACTTTTAAAATCGGGTAATTTTTACTTTTAAAATCGTTCTTTAACCGATCTTGAAAAAGCCGATTTTAAAAGTTAGACTTTTAAAATCGGTTTAAAAACCGATTTTAAAAGTCAACTTTTAAAATTGGTTATTTTATAACCGATCTTAAAAGTCCGGATGTGGGAAAAAAATAAACTGGAACGGGCCGTTCCAGTCTGATCAAAATGCCTAAAAGGTAACTTGGAGAACCGCTTGTACTCCTTGGAGAACGGCCCGTACTCCTTGGAGAACGGGCCGTTCTCCTTGCAGAACGGGTCGTTCTCCTTGTAGAACGGGCCGTTCTCCTTGCAGAACGGGCCGCTCTCCTTGCAGAATGGGCCGTTCCAGTTTCGAACCCAAACTGGACTACAACACAGAGACGAGAAATCATGAAAAAATGAAAAGAAACAAAAGAAGAAGACGAAAATGAAAACGAAAACGACAACGAAATTTACCTTATTAGAGACTTTGGAAAATGAGAGCTTCAGGGAAAGATTGAAGAGAATGAGAATGGAGGGGAATATAAAAGATTTCTGACGATACTTTTAAAATCGGTTATTTCATAACCGATTTTGTATACTACATACAAAATCGGTTTTGAAATAACTGATTTTAAAAGTAGTACTTTTAAAATCGGTTATAAAAGAATCGATCTTAAAAGTGGCACTTTTAAGATCGGTTACAAAATAACTGATCTTAAAAGTTCTTTTAAGGTCGGTTATTTTATAATCGATCTTAAAAGTTCCACTTTTAAGATCGGTTCTTTTATAACCGATCTTAAAAGTACTTTTAAAATCGGTTATATTATAACCGATCTTAAAAGTGTCACTTTTAAGATCGATTATTTTGTAACCAATCTTAAAAGTGCCACTTTTAAGATCGGTTCTTTTATAACCGATCTTAAAAGTACTTTTAAGATCGGTTAAATTTCAACCGATCTTAAAAGTGTTCATGTTATTTACAAAATTGCCACCGCGTCACTTTTAAGATTGGTTACCTTATAATCGATCTTCAAACTCCGATTTTAAATCCAATTTTTGCACTAGTGCATCTACACTAACTTGGTGTTGATACATTATGTCTTCTCGAATGTTCCTCAAATATTATTTTGATGAATGGTGTCTAATGCACACCAACCTTCTCAAAACAAGATTTCTAAGTCAGAACAGCAGAGGAAGACACAACCCGGAATGGTCAGACAAATGAAAACAATTATTTCAAAGTCGGTGCTGAAGAAGAACAAGAAGAATGAGGAATGGGCTTTGGCGAAGAAAACGGGAGAAGCAAGTTCATCTACAAGAAAAACTCCCGAATGCGCTCCCTCTATAAAAATGACCTTCTACCTAGAAATCAAGCAGAAGTTCCCTTATCCTCCTCTTTCAAAAAGACTTCTATGCTCCAATAGATCCTCACAAGGACATGGGCCATGATAAACTCTCTGACTTGTGCTAAGTCATCCTTTCTGGTCCGCATCAACAAGAATCATCAGTGATCATTGTAGGAGAAATAGGAAAATAGGGATAACCGCACTAAAAACCTTTTTGTGTAAATTTCTCATGATGTACAGACTTCTAAGTCAACTCAAGGATATATGTACATTTTCCTATCTAGGATTATTGGTTGATATATAAAATAATCGGGTAAATACTATTCTTGCTGATATGATAACTATTCTAGTATCAGACTGTTTCTAGAAACTTTACCATTTTGTATGAATAACCATAATAGAAAACAAGTATTCGTTTGATTATATAGACTCTTCATGTTGCACATATTTCTGACTCAGATCAATTCATTTATTCTTAAAATTTTCGTTTGATGCATAAATTGATCTGCTCATGACTACAAATGAGAAAAATAATAATAAGTTTGTTTTGTAAACATTTTTTTTCTCTACCATGAATGTCTGCTATTCAAACTCAATCGAGTTTAACTAAGTATATATGGTTCATGCAAAGTTATCATCTTGATAAACAGAATTCTCTAATAAAAGGTTTTGATATTCATGCTCCGATCAAAACATTATGGTCTGGCTATAATAAGTAATCTTGATATCTACTCTAGTATCTATTTCTTTTTTATGATTACAGAGGGGGAGAAATAGAAAAGCATTGATCAATTTATCAAACACGGCTAAGAGATAATCTAGTAAAGGGGAGAGCATAAACTAAGGGGGAGAAATGAAATGAACCTACTATAATATACAAATACCTCTGATTTACACTAGTACAAAAATCACTTTTAAAATCGGAGTTTTAAAATCGGTTATAAAGTAGCCGATTTTAAAAGTGACGCGGTGGCAATTTCGTAAATAATGACATTACTTTTTAAATCAGCTACCTTTTAACCAATTTTAAAAGGTCTCTGATGCTACTTTTAAAATCCGTTATTTAAGAACCGATTTTGTATGTAGTATACAAAATTGGTTCTTAATTAGCCGATTTTAAAAGTGCTACTTTTAAAATCGGCTATTTAAGAACCGATTTTGTATGTAGTATACAAAATCGGTTCTTGAAAAGCCGATTTTAAAAGTGTTACTTTTAAAATCGGTTATTCAAGAACTGATTTTGTATACTACATACAAAATCGTTTCTTAAATAGCTGATTTTAAAAATATTAGAACTTAAGTAACTAGTTTCTCTCTTCTGCTCCATTGTTTTGATCTTTTCCACCATTTTGGGATTGGTGAACTATTGTCAGATATTTATAGGGACAATGCTAATGTTGATAAAATTCTATTTTTAGCGAATCTTATTAAACTATTGTGGTAGACGACATAGTGTATCCACTTGTAATATACTTTTGGCCACTCATGAATTTCCAAGCAATTTCTTTGTTTGTGACAGTGGTGGGTGTGCTACGGTGGAAATCTCGCCTTTTGCCATTTCTTTTTGATTTTTTTAGTATGCATTGAGTGTATTTAGACCATACTTGAATAGTAATAATCTCGAGATAAAGAGATTCCCAAAGTGGGTGATTTTTTAACAATATTTTTTCCAATACGTACTAGTTTACAATATGGTTAAAAAGAAATGTAAGCAGCACTTGCTAACAAGAAATTTTAGTGGATCCACGCATTTAATTTAGTGAGTTTCTCTTAATTTATCGGTGAAATTTACAAAATATTTTTTTTAATATTAGAGAGAATATTAGAAGAATGTCACTATCATCTCCTTTGTATTTAAAAGATCTAACAAGTGTTTGATTTCTATTTTCAATATGTTTTCAAATGTGGTAAAATAAAACTTGTTTGATGGGTGAAAGGAGAAAGGAGAAAGGAGTGGCCGTGTCAGTGAAAAAATAGTGGAAATGATGGGAATTTCTTTTCGTACCCATCATTTAATTAAAATGCCTAAACTACCTTTCACATACTTTGGAATACCTATCATACACATTTCAGGTTGCAAAATTTAGAACACAGTTACAATTTGGGTATTGTGGAACACATTAAATCTTTCCGAAATTATTGTTTTGGAACACATACCATTTCGAAGGTGTTTTGGAACTCATTACCAGGAATGGGTGTTCGAGAACGACTTTTCTCAACACAAAATTATAAAACTGAATACTTAATTAAGTGAATACATTATCATCAAACATCATCCTCAAATCAATCATAGTCTACAAGAGTTGAGAGCAATCCTCCAAGAAATGTGGCCTACATAGACCAGAAAGCTAGTAAAACATAAAAATAGCCTTAATACGAAAAGATAATATAAAAACAAAACATTGTAAACCTTGTAACACCATTACATGAGGATACTCTTGACTGCTAGCACTGGATGATGGGACATTAATCTGTCCCAAATGAGACTCCATGTGATTGTCCCTCAGGAAGTGGCATCAGGTATGGGTGGGATATCCTCTGGTTCTATTCCATGTACCCTCCAACAACATCGAACGGGTGCACCACCCGTGCGCTAGTAACCGTTGGGTGGTATGCAAAATACAATAGCATGAATTATATCCATACTGATGCA